CAAGCGGTTCCAGGGGCGACCAGGTGAGGGTTGCCCCCTCCCTGTGGCGTCTGTTCCCGATGCTGGTGCTGAAATGCGATGCTGGTGCTGAAATGCGGGTGCTCCTCTGAGGGGCTTTGGGGAGCGCGGGTCTGCTTCGCCTTAGAAATAATAACGGGGGGGGGTGGCAAGGAGGGCAGGGGTGCCGCTGGAGAAGGGTCTGCATTGAGGACTTGCTTGTCGTGTGCACCTTGGACTAAGGCATTAGGACGTCCCAACATGTCCAAGTTCGACCAAATGGTAACATGGTTGGTGGCTGCCGGGTCCCCCTCCCCATCCCGGTTCTGCTGGCTTGTTGGTCCTCCCAGGACTGTCAGAGGCTGGTCGCAGCCCGGCCCACGTGGCTCAGTGGTTGAGCCTCGACCTATCAACCAGGCAATCAGGGTTCATTTCTGGTCCCGGGTTGTGGGCTCCATCCCCACTGCGGGGCGTGCAGGAGGCAGCCGATCAATGATTCTCTCTCATCATTGATGTTTCTGTCTCTCTCTTCCTTCCGCTGTGAAATCAATAAAAATATATATATATTTTTAAAAAAGGCCCTTTCAGTCCTGAGAAACCAGACCCTGTCCCTGTGAACTGTGGATTATTGCCAAAGTGTGTGTTGGCTTACTTCTCCGCCGTGAGAAAAGGTAGACACAGCACTTAATAGTCGGGTCCGGTGGAAATACACGGTGTACCCGATGCCTTGCTTGTTTAAGGAGTAGCCTGGCTGTGGGGTCATCAGGCTGAAATGACTGTTTAGGACAATGGCCTTGCTGTTTGCGGCTCCGACCCTCAGCCTCCTTGCAAGGGGACCGGGTGGGTCTTTAGGAGCGATTGCGGGTAACGCTGCCTCACACACACACACACACGCACACACGCACACACGCACACACGCACAACTACACCTTATGAGGAAGGTGGCCAAATGGCTGAGAAAAGATTGACGTGCAAAAGACACATCATCTCATTTATTTATAGCCACATCTCACTATCACCTTTTTTTCTTTTTTTTCTTTTTATACCCTGTCTTGTTGTTCTACTTGGGAAGGGGAGAATGCCTCAAATGCATGCGTGTCCGTCCATTGCCCTTTCTCGTCTCGGGACTTTGAAGCGGCGTCTTTTGGAAATCCCCCGGTTTGCTCTCCCCGCCCCTTTCTGAGCGGAGCTCCTGTCCAGTCCTGTGGATTGCCCTTGTCTCTCGGGTATTTTAATCACTCTGGACACACGCAGGCAGGAAGAGACGTACCGCTCAGGGAGAGGGGTTATTTGGTCGCTGTTTGTGAACTGGAAACGGAAAGTTAGCTTCTTTAATGCACCAAAAACACGACAGAATATCCTTCCCACAGCAGCCAGCGGCAGGTGGCGGACGGGACGGGACAGGACGGGCGCTGAGCAGGCCCCGCCTCGCCCTTGGGAAGCAGCGCCTGTGCCCTCTGCCCCCTCTCTCGGCCGTTCCAGGGCCTCCAGGGCCGCGGGAGGAAGGAGGGCATGTCCAGCAGCAGCACCACCAGCATCTCGCAGGCCCGCAAGGCCGTGGAGCAGCTCAAGATGGAAGCCTGCATGGACCGGGTGAAGGTGAGCACCGCCCCCACCCCCCTGCCCTCGGCCCACACCCGCCAGCAGTTTGCTTCAGCATTGCCTCTGTGTCCACCACGGTCAGGGGTCAGGGGTCAGGGGTCAGGTGATGCCCGGTGTGAGGGGTCTCCAGGTATACGCCGGGTCCTCAGGGCTCTGTCTAGCTCCATTGTCGTGCCAATAAGCAAGAAATTCAGCATTGAGCCCTAGGTGGTTTGCACAGTGGTTAGAGCAAACATGTCAAACTCGCGGCCGGTGTGAGGGAGAGAGAGAGAAACATCAATGATGAGAGCATCATTGGTTGGGGGCCTCCTGCACTCCCCCCACCGGGGATCGAGCCTGCAACCCGGGTGTGTGCCCTGATCGGGAATCGAACCGTGACCTCCTGGTTCACAGGTCGATGCTCAACCCCTGAGCCACGCCGGCCGGGCAGAGTGAACACTGAGCTTGACCTTGTCAAAGACACCATCACCGTGGGGGCTGCAGCTTGGCTGTGCTCTCCACTATAATCCTGCTTTGTTTTCTCGGGGGTGGCGGGCGGAGCCGGCAGAGACATCAAAGACGCTTGTAATGGATCCCAAGTCCTATTGTTAGAGAGACCGGATTGCTGAGCAATAGGTGTGAGGCGCTCTGAACGGATGGGAAGAACGAATGCAGGGCTGTCACGGCCAGAATAGTAATTATGCCATCCCCTTGTCCTGGAATGTGACTAGAGCAATTGCAACATCTTCTGCCATCATTGAAGCCTGTAATTACAGTGCAGCCACGGGGGTTATGTGCTCACTTGGTCTGTTTTAATCACCACTTTTCCTCTGAAATGAAATGGTAACGTCCCACAGTTGTTCCCAAGCTGCCGGTTCATTTCTTTTCTTTCTTTCTCTTTTTTTTTTTTTTTTGAGTCTACAGACTGTCTATTAGAGGGTGGAGAAGGGCAGGGAGGAGAGCTGCCCCTTCTAGTGACTGACTACAGGGTTCCACGTAGCACGCTCTGGACCGCACGCTGGTTCTGGCTTACACTTTTGCTTCTGGTCTCTGAGCAGCAAAGCGGCCCCTGCCTGGAAGCCATTGTGCGGAGGTGGAGGCGGAGGGGAAAGCGGGAAAGCGGCAAGGGGACTATTGATGGGGAATGAACAAAGCCTCACACCTCTCGCCCGAGGCAGGAGCCGGGTGAACGGACTAGCCTGGGGCTCTGGGTTCTCTCCCCCAGCCTCTGAGGGGCAGGCTGGGCTGCGGGGGGGATTGATGAGCACTGAGAGCCTGTGGTCCAGCAGGCCAGCCTGGCAGCCAGAGGGGAGGCTGGGAGGAGTCTTGCAAGGAGTGAGCCCCACCCCGTGAGGATGAGCGAGGATGATGGCCGGAGCCAGGAGAGGGTGCGCATAAAGAGGCAGCAACCAGGCAGACACCCACCTCTCTTTTATTGGGGGGGCGGGCACCGGGAGGAGCGGGCCTCAGGCCCTCTCACTGCGCGGCTTGTTCACTGGCACTACAGTGGCCGGGGCCTGTGGCCTCGCTGTTCGCCTGGTGAAGCCACACTCGCCCAGTGTCCTGCTGTCATCCAGAAGTTGGTCATCCTTGTACAGCCGCTTGAGAATGCCCTCGACGATGCGTTTCAGCTCCAACACGGTGCTAGTCTTCTTGGTGTCCGTGAATGTGGAGGTCTTGTGGCGCCGGATCATAAGGAACACGTCCTGGGGGCAGCGGATTAGCATGAACAGGGAACCCGCCTCCCCTTCTACGCGCCCCCCCCCCCCACCCCCCGCACACCTGTGGCCTCTGTCGTTCCCAGCCCTGCCCCCGGTTCATGTCTTTTAAACTGGGCACTTGCGCCCTAGCCGGTTTGGCTCAGTGGATAGAGCATCAGCCTGTGGACTGAAGGGTCTCAGGTTTGATTTCAGGTCAGGGCACATGGCCGGTTGTGGGCTCGATCCCCAGTGTGGGGCGTGCAGGAGGCAGCCGATCCATGATTCTCTCTCATCATTAATGTTTCTCTCCCTCCCTCTCTGAAATCAATCAATCAATCAATCAATCAATCATCTGGTCACTTGTGACCTCCTCAGGTCTTGGTTCCTGTTACACAGGACTCCACTCTCACCCAGAGAAGTGTGGCTAAGCAAACGCACCCGTGATCCTACAATAAGAAAGGGAGGCGAGCTGACAGTTTTGTTTTCTTGGAAGAGAAACGGTGGCATCAAGGGCAGCACCATCTTTGGAGGTGACAGAAGCCTCCCTGGATGAGACCCGCCAGACCAGCAGGGCCGGGCACTGGTAGCAAGGTTGTTAGGGTGTTGCAGACACGGGGCTGCGAGGGACGCAGATACACGGATGTGAGACAGAACATGGCCCAGCGCCGTCCTCCACC